CCCCAAAACCCCAAAACCCCAAAACCCCAATATTTAGCTGCAGAATTGTAATTAATTTTTTAAGTTTTATGATGGAAAAGGGAAGAAAGAAGAAGTACCAACCTAAAAAAGATGTAAGCAGCTTTATCTGACTCCTTCCCTGGGTGTCATAACTCCTTTCAAAACTCTGTTCCCCTTCTGGAGTGTGCGGGCTAACTTGTTTCTTAGAAAAAGATGCCAAATCAGAGATTTCAAGGATTTCTGCAGGATTCAAACGAGGAAGAAGAGGTTGATACTTCTGATAAAACCTCTAGTGTAAGTGACTTCAGTCTCGGTGATGAGAAATGGTCTAATAAGAAGATCAATAGTATTTTTAAGCGGCTTGAGAAAGAGAAGAATCAGCGAAAAATCACCCAGATTATTGAGAAAGCTTTACATAAGATTGTCTATGAGATTCCTGACAAGCCTGAGCTGGTTGTGAAGTTCTCGACTAAGGCTCTGCCTATGATAAACCTTGAGAAAACTGTACTTGATACTATCAAACGTCTCAGGATTTTTGATGAAATCGATCATAGTTGTAAAGATTTACTGGATATCTTATTAACCAAGCTAAAGGGTCTGTACAGAGAGAAGAAAAATCCAAATGGGATTTCTCCAAAGAAGGCAAAGATTATCAATGAGCGTGAGGACTGCATCCTGTCGTTCCTTAGCTACTTTGTCTTTAAGAACATGCAGCTCACCTCTGAAGATTACGTGAAGATTTATCAGCTATTTGACTTAAACTATATTCAGTATTACAAAGGTATGATTTGTATTTAATGCATTGCGCAATATAGGCATGAAAGGAGGCTATCATAAGTTCAAATTATTAAGACAAGTGTTCCTCTGCACCTATAATATTATCAAGAAGGCACCAGAGGCTTTGAAAGACTACAATGTTGACCTTGCTACTTACTGTATTGATAGACTTGAGGAGAGCCTGAAGAAGCCATCTATTGGAAACAAGAGCTTCCTGAAGTATACAGAGGCCATTTTCAGGCTTCTCTCTGTAATTTTAGAAGGGTTTAAGGGAAGAGCAGGGTACCTTAGTGACATCTCTTTGAGAGGATTTGTGTACTTCATTAAGTACCTGTTCATAGGTACTATTTTCCAGGATAAGATATTGAAGACTCTCATGATCCAGCACTCAGATGTAGGCTCTCTCCCAAAATCTATTCTTGGGAGTAACTCTCAAGAGGAAAACAAGGGTGAGGAGATGGGTGGATATTCAGATTCAGACTCTAATGTAGGATCTACCTATACAGATTCTTTAAGCCAGGACATTCTTATGAAGGCAAAAACATCAGCTTGATCATGCCTATACCACATCTTTAGATTTGGGCAAAAGGATCTTTTTAATTATCGCTACTGTATGTTCCCTTCTTTTGTTGTTAGCTTGAGCAAGGATTTTATAAAGTTTCACCAGGAAATGGATACTGATGACAAATGGGAAGAATTTGGAAAATTAGTTGATGAACGAATTTACAATGAACCTTCATTGTTGTACTTGTACCTTACAGAAACTGATTTGTCTTTTAAGCAGAGCTTGCTTGGAGCTTTATGCTCCTTCTTATTGCATTCACCAATTGAGAAATGGCAAGGACCACTGGAAAAGGATGGTCTAACTGATCAATATCATGGCTTTAAATACTTAGAACTTGAGGATGCTAAGAAGGGGATTGGCTCTGCAGGCTTCATTCCGTTATCCCAGTTAATAGCACATTTCATAAGATATCTTCATTATACTTTAGTTTTCTTGATCAAGAAGGAATGCTCTGGTATGCTTTTGAAGCTATTTTCAACACTTGTATCAGTGACACCTTGGCAGAAAATGAACCAGGATTTGATCAGAAACTGTATGATTCCTCATATCACCCAAATGATGTCATGCCTACTTACTGAGGAAGAGACTGAGATGGATGTTTCGATCCAGAAAAATTTGTTACTCTGTTTCGCTAGCTCTGCTAGCCTTCTTTGACCCTTAATCTTTGATAAACCAGAGGAAAGATCAGAACTTGAAGGTGTGTTAGTGTTTCAAGACCAAGACACAAACTTCGTAAAATGGCTGATCTCAGATTTACATGAGAACACAGTGAAAAGGTCTCATGAAGCCTTGGAGGTTCTCACAACTATTGCTAAGAGCTATCCCTCGTTTTTCATCGAGAACTGGGATTCTTTTAAGGAATACATCAACATCGAATTTTCAGTCAATGAAGTCAAGAAAACTGTGGGAATACTTAAGCTACTAGAGACTTGGATTTCAAGCTTGAATTCTGAAATTTATAAGCTTAAAAATTCCAATGCTGACTCTGAGGAAGAAAACAAAGAGGAAATAAAGCTCGATTCTGAAGCCGAGGCCCGCATCCACCAGCTTAATTTCCTTAATTTAGAAGGCTGTAGTAAGACCTTGAACAAATATTTGAATTTTTATGTCAAAAGTGGGTGATTAGAGAGAAAAGTAGTGGCTTTAAATATACTTTGTCTACTTTCGAATGAGCAATGGGTTGGTATCTTCCCAGCGAAGGATCAGGAAAAGATAATAGACACTATCCTCAGCAGTAAATTGTCCAAAATAGAATGCACTAAGTTCATTGGAAGTTGCTTTAGGATTGAAACTTTCTATTCAAACCCAGAGATGGTTTCTAAAATGATTGAAAAGTTAGCCAATTTCAAAGTTGAAAAATCAGGAATCCTTGCTCTGAGAAATGGCTGGTCTTTGGGAAACCTTTGTGAGAACATTAACCCAGGAGTTATGTCACCAGAGACAAAGAAGATTTTATTAGAACTTCTGGTACAATACTCAGACAAGAAGTATAAGGATAAAGTTATTGCACATGCTGTCAGAGGAATTGGATATGTCTTTGCAAATTGTGATGATTTCTCGGTGATTTCTGAAAATACTGTGCTTGACTGGAAAAACCTCTTCAGCATCATTATCACTAACATTGAGAACAAAAGCCCAAAGGTTTCCTGGAACTCTTGTGTGGTGCTAAGGGAAATTATGAATAATGCCTATATCAGGGAGCAGACGTTTGAGCTCTTATTTTCACAGGAAACTATAAAGTCTTTGTGAATTATAATCAAAGAAAATGCTAATTTCAAAACAAGAATACATGCAGTTCAGACTCTTAACAAGCTCAGAGATTATAGTGAATATGGTGAAGCGAGCCATGAAGTCTGGGATGCATTCTTGTGTGGGCTTCAAAACGTTACAGAGACCACAGATTTTACAGATGTTAACTACATCTCTTCACTTGAATACCATCTGTTTAGTCTCTTTGCCAACTTAGTGACCAAGATCCAAGATAACTCAGGTGTTTATGATAGATTTGTTAAATTCTTGAATCACAGGAGCAGGGACATCGAAAGTTCTATACTAAATTACTTACGAAAACAGTACAAAGTGACAGCATTTTCTGCTGTATATGAGGAAGAGATTGATTCCAAGATCTTGCTAGACCAGGGTCAATTAAGTAAGTCTCTATTTGGACGCACTAGCTAATCCATTTTTCTAGAAACAATCAAAAAGCTTCAGATAGCATTAGAAACAATCACCAAGATGATAGATGAGAAAGATGAGATTCAGGTGCCGTTCTCTGCTTATGAGGCATTCAGCTCGATTGCGCATACTGATATCAGTGAGTTTGCAAGCCTTGATATCCTCAAGGTGAAGAAAACAGCTTTTGATAAAGACCAATTTTAAATAAAATTTCCGTTAAGGGGTTTTGGGGTTTTGGGGTTTTGGGGTTTTGGGGTTTTGGGG